GGATAGCCTATCAAAGCATAGAGTGCCACATATCAAAGATGATAATATTAACTTGATAGATAATTTTTATAAATATTCTGCGATATAGAATCTTGTTCATGTCGATCTCATCTCATCTCAACCTCAGGGATCTCAGGCTTTGCTCATTTTTTTTCGATTTTGAAAGTTATAAAAATAGTGAAGGTTCTAGACATTCCTTTCTTAACTCGGCATTCTTTAAATAGCAAAACAGTGGAAACGCTCGGTAGAGTAGGAAAATGGCTTTTAAACCAGGTACAACGAGTTGTTAAAACTCCCAAAAGTTGAGAAAACAAGCATACAAAAAAGGGAAATGATGCAGCAGCTACGTTTCACTAAATTGCCATAAACATGCGGAACTGGTTTGTCTTTACAATCTACATACGTCAAGCGAACACTAAGCTGTTGTTTATTAGCTCATCCGGTATGAACGCAATAATTCCCAGTAGGCAGACAACCCTATCGATGTTGCTCCTTTTTCAGTAGACTACAGAAAAGGCAACATTACGTCACTGGGACTAATATTGAGACTCTTATACTTCATTGCTATCTGAAAAAACGCATATAGAAGCCTACCTGCATTTGTTGGTCAACATCATCGGCAACGCTTATTCCACGTTTCCCAATGTCCATCAGCGTGCGCATGTTCCCAACATCCTCTTCAACGTCGAATGATGGCGAAATGTGACGTTTCAGGCTGATCGGTGATCGTTTGAAAGTGGATTTCTGGATAAAGGCTGAATTTTGTTTCAAACAATTTTTTTCAAAAATCGTTCTCACCTCTGGTCCAAATCCATACATACCCATCATAAGAGGATGAAGTTCGCTTTCCAGTCGAACAGCAGGACTCAGCTGCCGTTTTGCTCGCAAAGAGTTGGCGTTAGCCATAAAAGCGAACAGCGCTAGCACAACAATCTGACTAAGAGCCATAACCTATAATTTCTTCAAAAAAAATTTTGGGAACATACAATTATAGGCACGCTTTGTCCCGCGTTAAAAACTTGACGATGAAAGTAAGTCGTAAAGAAGGAAATGACTTGTGATATGAACTTTAGACAACACTATTACATGGCTGGCGAATTATTTCAACGTAATTATCCCTTAGGCAAAGAAGGAGACAGATCTTATAAAGCTAATTACAGGAAGACTTACAAATGTAATGACAATTTCATCCCATTGAATACCAAACCCTAATTCCTTGTTGTTTATAATAAATATCCCACTTATTTTTGCCCAATTATCATGG